TGTATAATATCATTTAGAACCTTAGGGGTGTTAGTGTTATGGATAAAAAGAGATATCTTCGAAGAATGATCCACTATCATAATCTTACTCTTTTGATATTACTTGAACCTAAGAAAATGGGTGACAAACTTGCCAACTTTACTAGGACTTTGAACTTTACAAGCTTTCTTCATGGTAATCTCATTAAAAAGCACATTTGGATTATGTGGAAGAACTATCTACTTGGAGGATTTACATTATATCCGCCCACAATCTATCATGATCCATATTAAAAACATAGTTTCTAACAAATAACTCATTTTCCCCTCTCGTATATGCTAGTTGTGATCGAATGTCTCCTTACCTTAGGTTATTGGTGGTGATTTCAATGCAATTGTTATGCCCTCCAAAAAGGCTAGTGGTACTTCTCTAGAAACATGGTCTATGTTTGAGTTTAATAGTAGCATTCAGCTCACTAGGATTCAAGACATTGGTTTTAAAGATAACAAGTTCACATGGTGTAATAATCAAGAAGGAGGTGCTTAGAATATGGAAGAGGTCTGGATAGTATTATGGTTAATTATTCCCTTCTAGCCAACTTTCCTAAGGTTGTCCGCACTCATCTAGCCTAGATCTTTTCCGACCACTCGCCCTTTATTTTTGTCTTTCATGTTTGGGCCTATTAATCCAGCTAAATTTTCCTTTAAGAGAATATGGCTACCTCATTTGGATTTTCTCCCATTTGTGCTTGCCAAAGTAAAGCATCAATAGAAGCCAAATTCCTTTCCTAAACTTACAACTAAAACTCAAATCCCTTAGGAGTGCTCTAAAAAAGTGGAATTAGAATTCCTTTGGAGATGTCTACCGAGCTATTAACAAGGCTAATTATAAGGTTATTCATATAGAGGCTTCCTTACAAAGTCAGCTGGTCTAAAACAATAATGCTAAGTATATGAAGCTAAAAATCATTTAGCCAATTTGGTAGCTCGGGAAGAACTATTCTCGTAGGAAAAATTTGGGTCAACTAGCTTACAACGAGGGATCAAAATAATTCCTTCTTCCATGCTAGTGTTCTAACTATGCTATCAACTCTAAACTTAAGATTAGTCTAAATTTGCTCTTTCTACTCGATAAGGAAACTACTGGTAAAGCTATGGTAGAGTACTTCTAAAATATCTTTGATATGAATCCCACTTCAATGACAATAGACTTTCTAAAAGTCATCCCCTCTTTGGTCACCGATGCTCACAACCAAGCTCGATGGATAACCCTTCCCTATAAGAGATTAAAACAGCGATCTTCTATCTCAACCCTCTTAGTGTTGTAGGCCCAGGTGGGTTTTCAAGGGCTTTCTTTCGGGGTTATTGGGAGATTTTTAAATCGGATGCGATCTTGGATACCCAAGACATTTTTAAAGGAGGAGATATTCGAAAACTACTACGACCTCAACTATGGTGTGAATTCCTAAAATCCTTTACCCTACTAAATTTTCAGAAATGAGACCTATCGGTTTATGTAATTTCACCTATAAAACCCTCTTCCGCATTCTTACCTCTCATTTAAGTGAAATGTTACCTATCATTATCTTCAAAGAATAATCGGGTTTTGTGAATGGGAGACTTATTCATGAAAATATTGCTCTAGCTTAAGAACTCTTTCGGGAGATTGACGAAAGGTTCATGTAGGCAATGTAATCTTCAAAATGGACATGTCTAAAGCTTAAGACAAGGTGGATTAATCTTTTCTTCTCAAAGTGATTAATAAATTTGGCTTTTCAACCACTTGGTGTAACTTAATCTTTAATTGCCTAAACAACTATCGATATTCACTCTACTTCAACTCATAGTCTTTTGGTTTTTTCAAGTCTCATCGAGGAGTGAGGCAAAGGGACCCTTTATCTTCTCGCTTTATTTATTCTAGCTTCGGAAGCTTTTAGTAAACACCTTACTACTCTAATTGAGAAAAAGATCATTACCCCTAACTATGTTGGCCGAACTCGTCATCAATGTTAGTCACTTGCTTTTTACAAATGACATGCTCCTTTTTTATAATGGTTGTAAGCAACTGCGTTGGCAAGGTGATATCCTTCCTTTAGCGATATTCAACAACTAGTGGTCATGAGATTAATTTTTAGAAGATTTCCTTTTTTTGTAACAATAAATTGATTTTGAATAGGAAACATCTTATTTCTACCTAGATCGAATTCTCTTTAGCCAATAATGTCATTACTTACTTGGGTGTGCTCTTGTTTGAAGAAAGAGCTAAGATTGAATATTTTCTTCCTTTAGAAACGAAAATGAAGAGCAAACTTACGAGTTAGAAAAGTAAATTACTATCCGTAAGAGGCAAAATTACTTTAATTCAAGGTGTTCTAACTTCTATCCCTATCTATACTATGGGAATTCTACCAATCCCTAAGGCTTCCCTAACTTGTATGTAGAGTTATATCTCAAACTTCTTTTGAAGCAATGAAGGGGAAAATTGACGATACTAGGTCAATTAGAGAACTATTTCTTTCCCTTTTAGTGAGGGGGGCTTGGGTGTTAGGAACTTGGAAGAGGTCATGAATGTTATGAAAGGTAAACTTACTTGGACTTTTATTATTGGTTCCTCTCTTTAGAGTATTTTTGCCATGTCCAAGTATGGCATACCTTCGACCCTTGATCCCATACATCGCAAAAAGGCTCTCTTGTATGGAGAACTCTTCTTCCTCATATTTTGAGTTTAAAAGATCATTCCCTTTTGATAACCGGTCAAGAAAATGTTTAAATTTGGTTTGATAAATAGACAGTACTGTTGCTCTCCCAATTCTTGTGATAGTCTCTAATATTTATCTACTCTAGGCTAAAAAAAATGACTCCATCTACATGTCACTTCACCAATTAATGAGAGACAAATTGAATCGGATTAAGTTAGATAAGAATGAAGATGACGAGACTTTCATATTTAGATTTATCTAACGAAAAGTTCGACTTCTAAGGCCTATCACAAGGCTAATAGACATGTTGCTCCTTATTTTGAGTGGTGGTGGTGTTTGTGGAATAAATGGCTACTTAAGAAGATAGGTGTGTTTTTTTGAAAATTTCTTCATAGTACGATGGCGAGTGGAGACTAACATTCAGCATTATGGTATCTCTTTGGCTTCTAAATGTCACTATTGCGTTTCAGCTAAGAGGAGTCTAAAGACCACCTTTTTTACATGGTTTTATAGCAGGTCAACTTTGGTCTTACTTTGCTAATGCTCTAGATGTTAGTCCAACTTTTGAAGACATGTTTCACCTCATGAGATCCGGGTTACAACAAGGTACATTCACCACCTAAAAAATTTCTAAAAAATGATAGTTTTTAATTGCATTTTATGAGAATTATGGATGGAAAAAAATAACGCAATCTTTGAGAATATCCAAATGAATTAGATCTTCATCAAACATAAGGTTCTCAATTGGCTTAAGGAATTGAATATGCTCTTGAGCCCAAGAAAGTATATTTCTTTTCGTGATGAGATTTGTTTGAAAGCTTTGGGCATTCAACGAAAATATGATTGCTACTCATAAGGGAAGGTGGATTAAATAGCTATTTCCCTCTTTGGGGAAAAGTAAACTTAGCACGAATGGAGCTTTAAGAAACAACATATGTAATAGAGGAGGTATTTTGAGAGATGATATAAGGAATGCGTTTCGACTTTTTCCAATCTCTATGGTCTAGGAACCACTTCTAAGGGGGAGTTCGGCCCTATTAGAAGGAATTAGATTATGTTTCGATCGAAGCCTACATGTTGACATGTGGAATCAAACTCTTCTTTGGTCATTGGTGATATCTCTCTTCCTTGACACGCCTTTGACACCTTAGCTATATCATTATATCGTGTTAGAATAAGATCCCTCTAACCATGATCTTTCAGCAGATTTACAGGAAAGGTAATATGAGTATAGACGATGTAAGCGTAATGAGCTTTTCAACTTTTGTTTTCCATAAGTAGCTACTTCAATTAATTATCTCCCTCATTCAAAATAGATTAGGGTTATTCACATACCACCTAAAATAATGGCTTTTGCATATATTTTGATGCGAGAGTTATACTTTTTGTCTTAAACTTAATAGGTTACCACTTGGTTTCTTTTGTCTTTATTTTGGATAGATTCATGTTTTCCCACATACAGCATGATGCTTGCTCCTTAATACACCTATATCGAAGTCTTTTTGTGTTAGAGAATTTTTTGCTAGGGTTTAGGCTTCTTTATCCTCCCATCTTGTGGATTAAGTTGGATTATCCCCTTTGTCTTCCTTCTATTTTATCTATATACTATCGGGGTTCCGTCCTCCCTCTCTCTCTCTCTCTCTCTCTCTCTCTCTCTCTCTCTCTCTCTCTCTCTCTCTCTCTCTCTCTCTCTCTCTATATATATATATATATATATATATATATATATATATATTAATTTTTTTAATAGTTAATGTTAAAGAAAAATTAAATTTCTTTTTGATCTAAAAAAATTTTGAAATTATTTTAGAAAGCAAATTGAATTTATATTAACACATATAAAAACTTTCAATTCAAAATATCAAAAATTGAATTTTTTAAAATATTTTTTGGTCAATAATAATGGTAAAAAAATTTATTAGTATAAATAAAAACTTTTAGCTCAAAATATCAAAAACAAAATTTTTTTTTTTTTTGAAGTAGTTTTTAGTTAATAACAATAGTTAAATAAAAGAGAGAGATAATATTTATTCAAAACATGACATTTAAAGGTTAAAATTGAACAAATTGGTAATATAGGCCTCAATGTAATATAACTCGGGCCAAAAAAAAAAAGCCATTAAACGCAATAATAATAATAATAATAACCGTTAAAGCAGCTGCCAGGACAGGACTTGCTCTGCCTATAAACCACCCACTTCCAAGAGTCATAACTACCACCCACTTCCAAGCGTCATAACTACCAACTACTCCGTGAGCTTCCCTCTTCTCTCTCTCTCCGCCCCTCTCTCTATCTCTCTCTCTCCCGTTTTCTCCACAAAGAATGGAGAATGCTAGCCATAATGATGATTCATGGGACTCCTGGGTAGACAAGGCAGTTGCAAAGCTTCAGTCTTTAAAACTACTTCGATCTTTAAGACCCATTAATCTTTCCACTGAACATGACAAAAACTTTGAAGATGATTATCAGGTGTTCGATGAAATGCAGCCTTGGGATCGAACCTCTGTTGAAATCTCTATTTCAGAACCCACATTTCATAAGTGGGTCCTTGACATTCCCAGTTCTGGTAGACCTTTCTTCATTTTCTAAATTTGTTAAGTATTGTTGGAATGAAATAAAGACATGGATTGCTCCTAGAGTTGATAATAATCAAGCATTTCGTTTTAAAGTTTGTTTCTTGTTTTAGAATTTTGTCTCTCATCTCAAGAAAATGTGTATTCTAGTCTAATTACAATAATGGGGTTTGTAGGAGATGAGGATGTTTCTAGAAATGGAGTGACTGATCATAAAAAAGCTAATGGGAAGTTCAAGAAACTGCTTTTGTTCTCTGGAAATGATTATTTGGGCTTGAGTTCACATCCCACTATTTCCAGGGCTGTTGCAAAGGTTTCCTTAATTGAATACTTTTTTTCTTCTTTTGTTATTTGTACCGTTTTTTCTGCTTTGAAGATGTAATGATTTAACACTATGTCAGGCAGCACAAGAACATGGAATGGGACCTAGAGGTTCTGCTTTAATATGTGGATATACAAATTACCACAGGTTACTTGAGTCTTGCTTGGCGGAATTAAAGAAGAAAGAGGTATACGCTTCATATTTTTAATGCCTTCAATCAGTTCAATGATTTGTGATTGCTGTTATAAGACTATGCAACCACTTTATTGTTATGCTTGTTACGTTGGTGCAAAAAGAATGGCATATCAATCTATACATAATATCAGAAAAATTCTGACATGATTAAATTGATCATAGTTGTTTCATTTACATTTTGAAGTGATGGGGTTTTTTTCTTCATGTTATGTGCATTTATTATAAAGCAAAGAAGAGAATGAAAAATTATTGTCAACTGATTTATTTATTTATTATTCCATCTATTTATTTATTTGTATTTTAAATTTTTGGACATAGGGCCGCCCTTGTCTGATCTTGTACGGATGATCTTGGATTGTCCCGGTAATGGGAAACAACACTTACTGAAAATCCGTGAAACTCAGTTTTTTTATCTAGGAAGCATAATACTTTGTATTATACTCTTCTGAATGTATGGTATATTCAACTGAAAACTGATGCATGCCTGCTCTTAATATATGCTAGGATTGTCTTCTTTGTCCTACAGGGTTCGCTGCCAATATGGCAGTGATGGTAGCTCTTGGAAACATTGTCTCTCTTTTGGCTGCAGCTGAAAAACCTATGAAGGAGGATAGGATTGCCATATTTTCTGATGCACTGAATCATGCTTCAATAATTGATGGTATTCGTCTTGCTGAACGACAACAGACTGTTGATGTGTATGTTTATAGGCACTGCGATATGTCCCACCTTAGTTCATTGTTGTAGGTTCTTTACCTTTATATTAGTCCTTTGGTGCTTTCCCTTACATTGCATTTTGTCTTCACAGTGTTCATATCTGACTTTGTTTTAATTTTTTATTTTTCGACAGATCAAGTTGTGAGTTGAAGAAAAAGTCGTTGTGACTGATAGGTTAGCCATGCCATTCCAACTTCTACAATCTAGTACCTTCTATACTTTTGCTGCAAGTGTTGGCTAATCATAAGCAACTATTATTTTGTTAAACAACCAGAGATGTCATTTTTTCTGTTCTGACTCATATCCTTCGTCATTATGCTTGTTGTGTATTTCGTTTCATAGACAGGATGCTAGATAAACCACAAACACTTTTCTTGTGTATGTTCTTGAGTGCTTGCTACTGTGGACAAGGTGGATTCATTGAATTGTGTCTTGTCTGTGCTTATTACAGCTTATTTAGCATGGATGGAGACTTTGCACCAATGATTGAGCTTGTGAATCTTCGCAAGAGACATGGCTTTTTGTTAGTCATTGATGATGTAAGTTCTCTTGAAGGCTGATGTATTTGTAAGAAGCTATTTCATGCTATCTTGTACACATGAAGCTTGTCCAAGCGCCAAAGCTCTAAGATTTAATTTCTATGGTATGGATTGCAAACGTGAAATATTATAATCTTTTTTTAGGGAACATAAAGTCTTTATCAAGAAAATAAAAATCTGTTAACAATTTATGTCAATGCTGCTTTCAATAATGAGAGAATTAAACTTGCTTAGAGTTCTTTCAGGCTCATGGAACTTTTGTATGTGGGAAACATGGTGGGGGAGTGGCTGAGGAATTCAATTGTGATCGTCAAGTTGACATATGCATTGGAACTCTGAGTAAAGCTGCTGGTTGCCATGGCGGATTTATAGCATGCAGGTACTTGTGGAGAACAATAGTGATGCATCACTACAATAAGACTTGTTTCTTATCTCCCTAGAAAACGAAAACTTTCATCATATTGGTCTTTTTTTTTTCTTTTTTTTTTTTGGCTAACATTTATTCAAATTAACAACTCTCGTGTTTTACTTATCCTGTTATTACCCTTAGGTCCTCTACTTTTAAGGCTTTATTAAAGTTGCATTGCACATGAAAGTAATTTGATGCAGTTATCCAATGCTATGTTAACAGCAAAAAGTGGAAGCAACTCATACAATCAAGGGGCCGCTCATTTATATTTTCAACTTCTTCACCAGTCCCTATTGCTGCTGCTGCGCATGGTAAACTTTAGTTTGTTAGTTATTCGTTTCTTTTCTTTTTTCTTTTAAAAAAAATATGGCCTTCTGATTGGTTTGCATTACTTGACATCATGCAATTGTGTTAATTTGCCGCGTACAAGGACTTGCCGCTTGTGGGATTTCTTATGCCATTTGCTGCAGGTCATTCATTCATGTGTAGCTTGCTCATACTTTTGTGGGGATGCGTGTGATTCTTCATTTAATGAGGAAGTCCATGGAAAGAATCCTTGAAATTCCATAGCTGTTTATATTGTAGCATAGAATTTCATAATATCATGTCTTGTGTAGCCTTTGCTTTCTTGGTGAAATACTTTCTGCTGTAATAACTTGTGTACAACCTGACAGCTGCTGTTATTGTTGGAAAAAGGAAGCGTGGCGCAGAAAGGAAATTTGGAACAGGGTGCAAGACTTTCGGGCTCTTACTGGAATTCCCATCAAGAGTCCTATTATTTCACTTATTGTAGGGAGTGAAGAGAGAGCCCTCAAAGCCAGCCGGTTTCCCCTCTCTCTCTAAAAATAAAATTTCTCTCTTGTATATACACAGACGACGTGTCACTTCTGCAACAGCTACTAACTATGATAATTTTGATGGATCAGGCACTTGCTGAAATCTGGTTTTCACGTGACTGCAATCAGGCCCCCAACTGTGCCTCTCAACTCATGCAGGTTTTGTTGCATATTCATGTTTACCTCTTAATGTTCTTTTGTGCAAGGATATCTTTTCAGTTTTGGATGCATTTTCTTGGTGGCTCCTTCCACACATTGCTCCTTTTCACCCAATTTCAGAGTCAGGGAATGCAATTTGATGCACACTTTGCTCAAACTATTATCAGAAAAAGGAATTTAGGTTGATGAGTCTCAAATATAATAAGTGCCTTAGAAAGTGCAAAATGCCGACACATGCATCTTTCTGATTTCACACTGAAGAGTTCGTGTTAGTCTGCAGTGTCCTGTGGTGCTATGATTTATATATACGTGAACTTACTTGTCACCTATAAATCTAGACATAAGCGGAAGGATTTGATAGCAACTGTCATTTGTTTTAAGCAGACCAACTGATATCAGAAAGTTCTTCGAGATATTTCAAAATCTCAAGTTGGGTTAGATTTAAAAATTGACGTACTGTATTTGGGAGCCAAAAAAATCAATGCTGGTTAATTGTGGCATGGTTTGGGTCAACATCTCGTTCTATCTTTGATGCCTTCTTGTTATTACTTTTTCTATGCACTTCCATAAATACTTTTTGATCTGATTAATTTTCTTTTCAAAATCAGGTTACGAGTGACTTTGTGTGCGACACATACAACAGATGATTTGAAGAAACTGACAGCTGCACTATCCTGTTGCATCAACTTTCAAGATATTGGTATCTGCGACTCAAGGGTATCTACTAGAATCTAGAAATTATCCTAACTCTTCATTTCTGACCAAGGATGATTGAACAAAAAAACATTGTAGTGAAGCAAATGAAATGCTCACTTTCACCTTTGGTGTGCATGAGGATTAAGTCTTGTAATAAGATTTAGTCTTTGATTTTAGCCACATCTATATGTGCCTTCTTCTGCAAGTCGGTGTAAGCATCAAGGTCATCTAAGAGAGGCTTTCTCCTGTACACTAATAGTAACAGTGATCATTGGATAAGTCACATTTACCGTGCCAACTGAAGATCACCATTCAACTCCAATCACTGGCAACTTCAAGATCCTACAAAGCTAGTAGCATGCATCAAAATGATCGTAGGATTATTTATTTTTACTTTTTCCGAGAGATTATTCTAGTGTATATTGTTGGTAATTTGCCTTGTCATATATTATTGTTTACAGGAGTGTGGGCCTGCTTAAATTATCTTGAGGTAGCTTTACTTTTCGTTTTTCTTTTTTTCTTTTTTTTTCTGGACTTTAAATTAGTGCTTAAATTAATAAGATGTTTTCTTCTTAAATCTCTGCTACATTTTGCAAATTAGAAAGTTACGTAAAGAGAAAAGTGAAGAATAAATTATAAATTTGTTTCTCTATTTTTGAGAAACGGATTAATTAGTTTTTTTTTAACTATTATTAAATATGTTTAATTTAATATTATTTTACTTCAAAACATGTTTTTTTTTATTAGTTCTTCCTTATCATTTATTTATTTATTAAAATAAAAAATTAAAATACATTGAAAAGGAATGAAAAGATTAAGTTATAAGAAAATTTATAAATATAAGGATTAAGTAATTAATTTTTAAAATAAAAGAGATTAATTTATTTATTTTTTTGAAACTACATGGATTAATTTATCATTTACTCTAGAAATGAAGTGACCTCCAGACTCGATTATCTTTTTTTAAAAAAAAAAAAAAGAGTAAATGTATTATCGGATCAGTTTTTGCTTACTTCAAGATTAATTTTTTTTCTAAACGTAACTAATAACACAAGATTTTAGATATTTCTAAGAATTAACATAGGCTATTACCTTGTAAGTCAATTATCTTCTTATTTTTGAGAAATTTTATAATACACAAGGAATAACCGATGACATATACGATTGTTATCCTATGAACTCACTTTGAAGAAAGAGATGGATACAAAAAAAAACAAGAGAGAGAAACAATATAGAGAAATTTCAAATATATATATATATATATATTTGAACGAACGTGAAAATCTTTTTTCACTTTTGATATGTCCGAATGTAATTTAATATGTTTATCTCTTTCCTCAAAGTAGATCCATAGAATAACTACGGTATATGTCACTAGTTACTCCTTATGTATTATAAAATTTTTCTTTTTAAAAAAAAACAAAAATTAAGTAGGGTTAGAGTAATACATTTTAGACATTGAGAAACAGCCAGCAACAGGGCTTCACTGGGGGGCATGTTTCCAGGACGGTTTGCCTTCATAGTGAATCCCTTAGAGAGAGAAAGGTTAAGTAGACTTTCGAAACTCTTGTGTTCCATTGCTTAAAAGGAACTTCTTGACACTAGATATTGATATGATATCCAAGTATCATCAGAATCACATTAATGGTTCTTGATCTTCAAGGACTTTGTTTTTGTTGTAATCCTTTTCCTTTCTGTACTGGTTTCATGAATAAAGATCCTGCGTTTTGTGAATTTCAGTTTTAATTTTTTTTTTTTTTTCATATATAGAGAAAATGGCTTTTTGAATTTTTGCATCTGTTCTAAATCTTACTATTAAACAAGCTTGTTTGTAAAGCGTTGCTGTGCATTTTATTTTATAAAAAAATATACTAACATTCTGTAAATTGAAGTCAAATTGGAATGTGATGGAGCAAACTAAATTGGCCAACCAACATGCACAAAGGCGAGGAATGCAATGAAACAGAATCATTCCCATGAAATTTACTGGCCATTAAAGAGAACTCCAGAGGTTACCAAAATATTTCTTATGCATAAATCGTATTTTACCGTTTTCATCCCTTTCCCAAACGCTAAAAGCACTTTTGCCCTTATGTAAGCCATATGTATGTATGTATATCATATGTGTAAGAAACTACCTTCCCAAAGATTAGGGAAGCAGAATGTAAGAACTCCAACGTAATTGTATGTATTCTATTAGGGGCTTAACTAATATAATTAGTTTAGCACGATAAACTAGCCAATATATCATTATTAGTAGTATATGATGTTTAACCCCTTTAAGATTTGTGCTCCACGGAAGGCTTAGGAGTAGCCAGAGCCAGCCAAGTCTCCATTGACAAGGAAGAAGATTCGATGGATGAGGCAGAGGCGCATCTCCTTTGCTGCTGCTCACGGTACCTTATCATTCCTTTTCTTTGATCACCTTCCTCCCATTCGCTCATCATCTCTTTCTTTGTGGGTCCCAACTGTGTAAAACATACGGAACATGTAAAATGAGTCAGCATATACACACACACACTAAATTAATATCACCAAAATATGGGTGTGAACTGAAACGGAGATCTCATCAGTACACATACACATAGACTTGGCATGGCAATAGTAGTGGTCGCATTTTGATGATGTCTTCTTTGGTAAGTGACAGGGTAAGAGGAGGTTTGAGCATGATACTCAGACCCACAAAATAATCCATAATCATCAATCTGATTGGTATTCAGTGGCTCATTGAGGTTGATCAGAGGGATTTTGGCAGTGGTGGTGATGGTAGTAGAAGTGGAAATGCTGCTATTCTCATACTGGGCGGCGGAAGTGATTTGATGAAGGGAAGGACAAGTAACTGGAGTTCTGACGTCGGCTTTGGATCGAGGAATGGTGACAAGCCTTCTCTCGGCTAATGGCTTCACATGCGAAGTACGGCGTGGTCCATGGGTTAGAGAGGGAGGAGCAAAGAGGGGGTGAGGTTGTTTTGGTGGAGTGGATGACACAGAGGGAGGTGTTTGCACTGCAATATTGAGGTCTTCCGGTTGGACCACAGTCTGAGGGCGTGGGGTTGAGGTAGTCATATCAGGCCACAGGAAACTTCCCACAGGCTTGCATATCCTAAACCCACTTTTCAGTCTTTCTATCTTTGCTGCCCTCTCCTCTGTTGGTGCTAGTGATTCTGTTGTTGGCTGTATGTTGCCTCCTGATGACTTCCGCTGTTCTTGTGCAGATTCCCATAAAACAATCGCTTCTTTTTCCAGATGCATTCCTTCTTTCCCCTTTCTTCCAGTTCCTGCTGGAGCTGGAGTGGTCGACTCTGTTGATCCCGTTAATAAAGCTGGCCTTTCTGTTGATTCATTTCTGTTTGACTTTTCAACTCTGGTTTTTAGTTTCTCCATTTCTTCCTGCATTAATTAAATATTCAATCATCATAAATAATGACCATATGGTTCAATACATGATTCAATGCTACAACAATAAATGCTACCAGGCCTCCCCGTTGTACAGTAAGGTCGACAATCAAATCACAAGCCACCAATTCATCCTAAAATCATCATTAATCATATCACTGTTACAATATTTATCCAGACTAGAAAGTACTACCAAGGACAACGAAAATCCACTGCTAAAACATTCGCCATTTGTGGAACTATTTAATGTGGGATTTCCAGCTTTAAATTGAGTTACACTAATTGCAAAAATCTGGTTTGGAATAAGCAGCATTCCCCATATTTAAACAACCAATTAAACAGCTTCTCAAGTGGTTTCATGGCAATTTAAGCATCAACTTATCATCTGGACTAGATACATACATCAGATAGTCAATCTATTACTAACATCTTTGAAAGACGTGGATCGTAATCATGTGCAGTCATCCTGGAATTTCTTATTTTAACAAATTTTAGTATTCAGAACTTCATAACATGGAAAGAATCATTCATATCAAATCTTGCACACTTCAATCGAAAAAAAGCTGATAATTATTAACGGATAAATTATCATGATCTCCTACCTCCATCCCACACAAAGATTGTGAAATTTCCATTAGTTGTTCCTCCATTTTTACCTTCTTATTCACCAAATCAATGTACATTTCCTGCAGAAGTAGTACACAGATTGTTAAGAGAAGAACTTAGCTGGTTCAGTCAAAATCTAGTCAAACTTTCATATTTATTACCTCCAGTGGAATTAATAAGCTGCCATGCTCCATGTCCTGACCTGTACGAGAAGAATTAGGTACTGCCACAATTGCTAGTTCCTTCCCATGTTTTTTGGACATCAGCTCCACCATCTCCCTGCGCTCGTATGACAACAAATATGCGACAATTGGAATCACTAGCACACATAATTCGCCTCAACAGTAACGGAGAAAAACTGATGGGCAATATCAAGATCAATAGTACTAAGTACTAACAAACTAAAAGACCACGAAATTCAAAGACCATGATCAATCCTAGTTAACAAGAACAGAAGAACCAATTACCTTCTAACTTTATCAATTTCCTCTCGAAGCTCCTTGATCTCTCTAGCACATACAGGATCCTGAGTAGGATTATCGCCAGGTTTCCAACCTGGCGGAGGAGTCCAGTAAGGATCCTGAACACCAGCCTCTTTCCTAATATCAACCAAATTAGCTTTCTCCAGCCAATACTCCATTGCCCCATCTGCATTATGCCTCCTCCTGAATCTCTCTTCACCTCCTGGAGCCACCTTCCCTGCCATATGCTTCAACAAATGGTCTAACAGCCCAGTATCCCCAATCAACTTCCGTGCCTCAGCTCTCAATTCTGGCCTTAGAATTGGGTTTCGAAACACAGCATTCTGCTCTTTCATTACTTTCAACATGTTATCCTCGGCCAATTTATACCTTCAGAAATCAACTAAACCAAATTAGTTACCATATAAACACAAATAAATTAATTAACATAAATCAAGCTCTGAACTTAATTTATTAATAGCTAAAAGCTTTATTACCTCTCAGCAGACCATCTATTAATAGAATTTTTTATGACTTTGTTCTTCTTTTGCTTATAGACCACCATCTGATTCTTCTTTTCACATTTAGGCCTTTTCTTCTTTGGTGATGATTTTTTTCCAGACCCACCTTGACATTTTCTCTTACGTAATTTCCTTTTAGCCTCACTCGACTTATCTACTACTACCTTAACCTCCTCCTCCTCCTCCCCTGTATCATCACCACCATCACTGTCTATCTCTTCTTCGCCTTTAATTAAGCCATTCGATACAGCCGCTATTTCACCTTTATCCTCTACGTGTTTAGCCAAGAACCTGACCTGCCGGCGCTGACCCCAGTTAACCATACCGGTTCCCTTAAGTTCAGAGATGAGAGACAATTTTCTTGCACCAACATTAACATGAGTACTTGTTCTAGGTGGGTCTGACACCTTTCGAGGCGAAGCCAAAGGATTTGTAAGCACCCAGAAACTCCATGAGCTACTCTTGTCTGCAATTTCTTGAGCAGAGATTCTCCTATAAAGAGCTTCTGCTGCATCTTCTGATCCTACAATGTACTTCTCATCGAATGATGGAAGTTTCTTCTTCGAGTCTTTATCATTAGTATGTTCACTCTCATTGAAGTAAGATCTTAGAGAATAGATGCTTGGAAACCTCAGGGAAACTCTCATTCTGGTCTTTTCATTCACCTGAAATGTTTATTATATCAAACAGAAATTAACCCAATAAATTTAAAAAGGACAAAAGAAATTAAAAACAAAAGGAAAATGGGGTGGGGTTTGAGAATCCTGATTATAATACCATGACAACCCGGATTTTGTTGAGTTCATCAGGGGTTTTATAAGGCAACTTGGAGTGATCAAGTTCATAGAAAGAGCTCACTCTAATATGATCGGCTGGGTCTTCATAAGCAAGCATGGAAAACAAAGAATTATGATTAGAGCAATTCTTATTTTGAGACATAGCCAGTACGTACGTAGTAGTAGATAGGAGGAGTAGTGTTCTGTTAGGTAGTAGGAGAAGGAAAAGTTGATACTAATGAAAAATCAGCATAAAAGAAGAAATAGAGAGAGGGGGGAAGAGAAAATAAAAGAGGGAGATATTTATTAGCTGGGCGTCTGTTAATATACCGAATGGTGGTGAAGTGGTATATGTTGGGTGATGCAGGAATTGTCCGCCTAAAAAAGGCCTTTCAACGGCGTCCTCGGGGTTTTGTTTCTGTTTCTCCCTTCTTTTTATGTACCCCATCATTTCCTGCATTTTCATAACCAAATCCCACTGTTACCCTTCTCTCTCCTACTCCAATATTCTATCCCAGGCCACAATTACCAGTCTCATATAATTAATGTAACAGAAACTGACACACACGGTTACACTCTAGTTTTTTACTGTATGCAGAAGCCCCTCGTGTGCGATATATGGTGAATAGAATAGAATATACTGTTACATGCATGGCATAACTCTCTGGTTTTTGTTTACTTGGGCGGGAAGGATATGTAAAGTTGGGGATTAATTGATTTGCAAAAGTACAAATGGTAGGGGACGAGCGTGTGGAGTGAGTTTGGCAATGAACATGATCAATGATGCATGTGAGTGTGAGGGCTGATGTGGAAGACACAAATATTAGAATTGCGGTCGACGGGGCGTTAATTTGTTTTTTTTTTTGGGGCACTTTGTAGGCTGTGTGATCGAATCAATGAACCTATATATGATTTGAAAACTTTATACTACTACTGTTGGGCTACTCGAGTTGACAGATAAAACAGCGCGTGTGATTTGGGGTAGGTGAAATATGGTAGTAACAGAAATTGGAGTGCGTGAGCATGCGTGTGATTGGAAGGCGACTGTGAGAAAAGGTTAGACAACTCACAGACGGGCCTATTAGTGCAACATCAACCAGCTCCATGCTACTGATCTTCTGCATATTCAGAAACAGTTTCAACAACAAAGGTAGTTTTTTTTTTTTTTTTTTGGGTTAATCAACATGGACGTAATTAAATTAAATAAAGGGAAAAATATATAATCATTTGGAGAAAATATCTAATCATGATCAGTCAAAATATATACTCCTATATCTTTTTGAGCATTTGATACAAAAGAACAGGAGGATTCAAAAAAGAAACCAAGAGAGACATGAGGGGGGTTTGGGGCAGAGATTTTAATGCCTGATAATTATTGCGTATATATGCATTTATAGGAAATGATTTTGAATGTTGCGGCTGCGTACTTAAGAAATAAAAGATTCCAACACCAACACATATAGTAGTAATGCTTGCAGAGCTAGCTAGCAGAATCTATTGTAGGGAGAAACTGAAATTAAGAAGCAAAAGGGGACGGAAAATTAATGCTCGACTAGAAAAAATGCTACTGATAGGAGTATTGCATAAGATCATATATAAGGCTTGGAAAGGAAATAAAAAACTTTTGAGCATGCATTTTCAATGAGAATATCCCACCCAAAATAAATATATACATATATATATATATATACATATATATATATATATATATATATATATATATAGGTTGTTTGGCTTCTGAGAACCAGAGGAAATTAAGACTTCTTTGGACTCCTTATTCAATTACACCCTTCTTTCTCGGCATCCAAAAACAAAAAATGAAATGTCAAAGTTCTGATTTCCCTTGAAACTAGAACACAAATTAAGTAGCAGATCACGCAGAGAAACCAAAAAAGCTTGCACCTTTACAAGATGAAAACAGAATTTCAAGTGATTTAATCCATATCCTACTCAAGACATGCAAGTAGGTCCAACTCCTTTTAAGATTTTTGATTCAATAACACTACTGATTCAAAGAGCTAGAAAGAGTAACTACACCAGCAATGCATGAAAATCAAGTTGAAATTAACCAAAAAAAAAAAAACAGAAGAGAAAAGAAAAGATATAAGGATTAGACCTTTTTGTCAATTTCTGTTTCAAAAAGCTGCTTGTGAGTGATTATTTGGAGAGCAAGAAAAAGCAGCTAGAGAGAAAATGCAGGGAAAGAGAGATAGGAAATATTTTCTGTTGTGAAATCAACAATGGCAGTGCAATTGTGCTACAGAGAGAGAAAAGATTGTAATGATTAGCAGACGAGTTGCACCTCACGTGACCTGGATTCTGGTCCCTCCCGCTCTACCGTAACCGTCTCTCATTTGACCGCTTTACCCCTCTTGGAGTCTGGTTTGGTTGCCTCTGAAAATGTTGGGTAGATGGTTGGGAGAGTTGGAAGCTCCTTGGTCTGTACGTAGAGCGTAGAAAAATGGTTCCTGCAGGTAGCCAGTAAGGTGTAGCCATGTCATGAGGTGGCGGATGCTTACTTGTGAGGATTGTAAGAGAGATTTGGGGAGGGGGCCTGCCACATTGAATAGGGGTGACCTTTTGGAGCGAACGTAACTGTGAATAGTATATTCTTCTTCTGTTATGGAGTTTTAGGACCCACAGTCCCACACCCCGCGAGTAGAGCACAGACATGCTAAAGGGGGAGGATAATCATGTTGCACCATAGGTAGTTTGGAGGAAAAAAACATACTGCGCGCGGGTTAATTTGAAGAATTTAGAAATGCCAAGTACAATACATTTTGAATCTAAATCGTGGGTTTCCAAGAAGTGAAGTGAAGAAATTAGAAAAAAATATTGTATTGGTACATTTATTGTGTCCACCAAAACATGATAACATTACTACACGCCTGGGGGATTGCTGATCTGCTAGTAACATACTGAATCCTACGATTAACACAAGTTATAAAAATCTTAAATTAATAAGAAATGAAGACGAATAAAAATTTCCAATGGACTCTCTCTCTCTCTCTATATATATATAGCAACAACAAAAATCACATAAGATTAGAAAAGATACTTAAATAAAATGTATAGATAAAGTTTATTTATGATGATGGTTTCTCGTTGAGCTTTAGAATTTTCAAAATCACATTTTTAAGGAAGAAGCGTATTTAAGGTTAAAATTTCAAACAAAGGATGCTAAATTTGACGAAACTTAAGTAATAAATGAAGACACCACACACGTCTATGCATTGGCAACGCAGCTATAAATTTTGATCACTGCCCAAAGCAATTTTTTATTTTTTATTTTATTTTTTTTCACTATTCATAGATTCATCGTTATGGTGGCTTGAGTGTCTCTAATTTCTTGCATGTGGGCTACAAAATACCCAATCAAAACATCAATATATGCATATGCTAGAGATTTGGACGCATAAGAATTAATCGTGGAATTGTGATAGAATTCGTGGTTGGGCTCTTTAAATATAATTTTACAAGGAAACACAAGTAACGATTTCCGCTAAGATTTATACAAATTGCTTGAGAGAGAGAGAGAGAGAGAGAGTTGTCTGGATAAATTAGACCGTGATATATAGGCTAAAAGAAATTAAAATCGGTAATACAGTTTAAAAAAACAGAAACGGAGGAGAATGAAGGTTACATGCCTCTCTTCTTTCTAAACGGTTTTCGCAAATGAGATTGATTAATAAGCTGTCCTCTGTTCCTTCCTCGAGAATATATATATATATATATATATATATCGTTTCCTATCATTCTTTCATTTGTATTCATTTTCTTTCTAAATACGTGTTTGCAATACTATGTTTAAATTACTCGAAAACAAACACATATAACGATACACCTTAACTTCAATATCTTTTTTTCTCTTTCTTGTGAAAAAAAATATATATATATTTTTACCTGACTTTGAAAAAAAAATTGTAATTCTTTTCCTTTGAAGGGACTGTTTAGTGTGGAGATATTTTGAATTTTTCATACCAAGTAATCTTAGATGCCAATAATATTTGTGTTTGATTTGTCCAAAGATGTTAAATGCCAACCTATTTGAGATGAAGGTTAGGTATGTAATGCCTTCTAAGATAAAAGAAATGACATTACTTGATGGGAGCTGGGAGGGAATGTGATTTTTTAAAGACCTTAATGCCCTTTTTTTTAAAAAAAAGAGTAGGATGTCCTTATTTTTAACAACTATAACACAATTGTCACAATGATTTAACACGTGGTTTATGTGCATAATGATTTTGAAACAAAGAATATCATGTTGAGAAATTGGTTTTAAATGTAATTAATATAGAAGTATGTGTTTATGTGCATAATTATTTAGAAAAAAATTTATTATGTTGAAAAATTAGATATTTCGAGTCTTAAAGGTAAAACAGTGAATTTAATTAAATTCTTCATGAATTTTCATGAATGAACCAAAAATAATAAAAACATTTTACAAAAAAAGTTTCAATTTTAATAAATAAATAAAAATGTCATATCCCAACAATAACATCTCCAGCAATCACATTTTAAAAAAATATTGAAGATTCTGCATGCCAAACGTCTCCTAAAAAATAATGATATTAAAATGCGTATATATTGATTATCATGTCATTAGACAAGCGTTATGACAGTTAATACTTAGATATGCCAATATAAACGCATTGATTAACCTAAACATTGATAAGTTTTTGCATTGATACCATAATTTCCCATCCCAACTTCTCATCGTCATGCCCAATAACCTAAATAAATTGGTTGTTGATCTCTAATCTTAAGAGATACATGATGTAGTTAACGAGATTTGCTCATTTCTTCAACTTTCTAAGTTTGAATAGTCAAAGAGTTAAATCTGGAGAAATTTTGTTCCTTTTTAAACGTATCATTTGATGTGAGAGGCCCCAAAAATTGTTAGCAAAAAACAAATTCAGGATATGTTTGGTAAAACATTTGCATTACAATTAAAAGTATTTTTAAAAATGTGTTTATACTGGGTTATTTCAATTTAAATGCATATTTACAAAATCACCTCACCGGTTTTTTTTTTTTTTTAATTATTATTATCATCATCATCATCCCCAGCTCCAGACGAAAAACAAAACAACGACTGGTTCTGCTTGTTGGGGATAACCAAACAGCCATTAACTTTTGCCCCTTTCAGTATTGAATCAACAAATTAAATTAGGTTTTTTTCAATTTCTTCCAAAAGCTGCTCTGTTTCCTACCAAAAAGCAAAATTAGTTCAGCGTTTGATCAGGGCTTGGTGAAATAAATGGATTGGGGTTTTGTACACAAAGCGTGGGAGAAATGGGCGTCCATTAACATTGGTTCTTCTTCCGGTGAACCATTGAAGTCTGCTTTTCTTCTTAACTACGATCCAAATGCACCGTCTCGCTTGCTTTCTATCATGTAAGAGAAAATAAATTATAAATTTCCAACCCACAAATGATTTATTTTTCTTATGTTTATTAAAGTTTTAATTTCGGGTTTAAAGCTTTGTTTATGGTGGGGTGGTTTTAGTGCAGAACAAGAAGGTATAAATGCTACTCCCATTGAAGTGAGCCATTTTGTTGAGTTTGTTAAGAGGAACAAGCTTCAATCTGAGAGCTTTATTATTGGGCAAAATCAATGTAAGTTCTTTTTAGTGGTTACTTAATTGAACGGCTTTAACTGGTTACAAGTATAATGAAGTGGTTATCAGTGGATGCAGAGTTGCTTTTAGAGTTTTATTTTACGTTGCTTGATTTTGGCAAAGAAATCTGCCTTTGTTAGGGCCTTGTGTTCTTATATTGCAATCTATAAGTTCATATTTATGCAGCTCTTGTTTTTGTGTTATTGTCTTGACCGAATGTGCTCCTCCTCGCATGTGTAGTTGACTGATCGAACCTCAAATGTGTTTTCAAAATTCACTGCCCTTTTGGAGTTCATGCATTATTGATCGAATCAAATAGGATTTCTACATGCTCTGCCATGCTTGGGATGAATGGATGTGTTTTTCTGCCTTCCCAGGGCCTTTGTTTCCCATCTGAATTAAAAGGATTTAAAAAGAACAATGCCCACCTCTCCTCTTTTCATATTTGGCAAAGAGATAGGATGGTACACTTATTTTCGTAAACATTCCGGCAGTTACAAATGAAAGATTTGTTTGTTTCCAAACAAACCAGACTGCAGAATTTTTTTTTTCCCAATATATTTGTCTCTATAAGATTAAGGTTTTTGTTTTAATTAGAATGAGAGAAGTATTAAAGGAATGATGAGAAGAATTTCATCTCAGAATTGTGATCTTCTAAAGTCAAAGTATGCTGTTTGTGCAAGTCATTGCAGCTTTCCTTGAGTACTAGTTTTTATTCGGACCTGGAATTGGAAAATGCCCCATGCCTTGCATTCTCCTTAACATCACACATCCCAGGAATTTTGTCTTGTACCATTCGATTGTACATTTTTTCTTGTTCTCTGTAATATTTATCTTACAGATCCTGAATTGGGTGGACAGATGTGGTTACATCCATTCATGAGAATTGGTTCTGTGCAAGATCTATGACTACATCAAAACCTGCTGGTGAAGGTGCCATCATCATGCAGACATCAACATTCCTATTGGTTGCACTGTAAGCCCTTTCTGTTCGATTTGATATTTTAGTTTTCCATTTCATATTTGAACAGATTCGGGATGCTGATGTGAAGATGTTGAATTTCATGCTTGTCTTTTCATTTTGCGGATGTGGCACTGGCAGGTATGATGGCTCAATTGGTGCAGCGTCCCGTGCTATGGTGGCTGTTGATCAGTTTGCATGGCAGCTTGGGCGAAGAAATCTGTAACTCATTTTCCACAACTACTGCAAGTGCCCTGCCCTGTAGAGGATCCTTAAATGGGTTTTGGATTTTTATTTTGTAAAATTATTTGCTCATGTCGTTTGTTCGATTCTTTTATCATTGGCTTACCGAATCATTAAATGCAGGTGCTATCTGTGTCAATTGGGCTAGGTGGACAACAAGCTTGACACAGAATAATTGTCACCCAGTTTCCTTCAACTCTGAACACTGCTTTTGATTCTAACAAAAGTATTTACATCAGATCTCCTTCCAAGATTATCTCCAGTCCACAACGTGACAGTGATTGAAATCGAAGATCTCATAAACTCTTGCTCCTTTTAATTTTTTTCTGGTACTGCCGCCGATGTAATGTACAGTAGGAAATGATGCTGTTTTATTTTTGTGGATGATTTGTTAACCTGTTAGGATACAGTGCTGCTGGACAAGCATGCATGAGGCAGTGGTCAATTATGTGTTAGAAAGTTTACTGGGCTGTGGTGGTTCAATGTTGTGGCCCAAGTTTGGCTACATCAGCCATCAATGACTAAGTTTATAACACCCCAGATGGGGACACCTCCAGGATCATTTGTTGGGGAGTCAGTGGTCACTGACCTGCTTATTTACAAACAGCGTCTCATCTAGATAAAAGCTCGGTTGAGCCGCAGTATATGGGCCTGTTCTTTCTGCCTGGTAAACTAATTCAATTCTGTTAGTCAGTCTTCCCACAGCATGTAGCAACAACTGTTGACCCCTCCAATGGCCGTTGTCTTTTCTGAATTTACTCGAAGGCTATGCAACAAGAAACAGCTAAAGCACTTTCGTTAGAAGGGAAGACTAAGCTCTAAACCCATTGGTGATTGACCTCCATTAATTACTCAAATATATATAATTGGCCTTTATCCTTTGGGGTCCATCCCCCTTGTCTTATTGTTTTGAAGGGGGAAAAAACTAGCAATAGAACGGCCTACCTTACGTGGAAAATTTTTTAAATGTTTTTACAATTATTATGAAATAATGATTGTGTATAATTATTTTATATCTTCATTACTCGTGTGTTTGAATTCATCATTCAATATGAAAAATTAAAAAGATGATGTAATTTATTTAATTATTTTTTTTTAATGGTTCATAGTTTCTTTTAATTTTCTTTTTAGTCTTGAAGCCCATAAATAGGTTTGATTGTTTATTAGTTTATATACAAGTATTTTATAAAGATTGAGAAAATTGTTCATTAGTTGTTATCTCTTGTATTCATTTTATTTTATAGTAAATTCACTTTTCTATCATCTTTCTCTTTAATTTTATTATTATTGCTATTTCTTTTATAACACGTTATTAGTACAAACTTCTAACTAATTGAGATAATAGACCATCAAAAAGACTTAATCATTTGTTTCAATCATTGAATTTTGTTTACACAAGTGCTTTATCAAAAGATCTAAATTATTTAGATCATTAAGAGGTATGTATCTAATTTATCATGTACTTTAAATCTAATGATACATAGAATATACATCCGAAAAACTTAAATAATTTAATATATAGAACCTAATGATCTAATATATATTGTTTGAAAAGTTTAAATTTTATTATTATGTTTGTTTTTATTTAAATTTTATTATTAAATTTTTTTTATTTCTTGATATTATTATTATATTTTACATTAAAGAATTTTTATGATATCAAACCTCACAAAACTTGATTGTGTAGTATTTGACATTTTGGGCAAGAATTATTGATCATGATTGCTTGATGCTAAGTAAATATTCTCTACTTTTCATGTCTCGAATATGCTTCTATGGTACTATATCGAGAAAAAGAGTTTAAGAAATATTCTAAATTGATTTCATACTTGCTCGTGACTAAATAAAATGACAAGCTATCGATGAAAAAGAATAAATTTCATCCAATTGAATCTACTCCATTTTCCTAAAGTAAATGTGACAACTTATAATAATTATGAACATGAACGAAGATGTGGTCATAGCCATCGAATAATTATCATTATAATCATGATGATCGTAATAATACATTTCACTATAATAAGTGGATAATTGTGAAAAAAAAAAAAAAAGAATAAAAATGGATCAAGTTATACTGAAAATAAATGTTACAAAGATAGTTATAAATTTATTTTACTATTCATTTATTTATGTTTATGAAGAATATATTTATTTATTTTATATTTACATATTTAATTATTTATTTTATGTTAATATTATATCTAATAATATCAATTTAATAAATGCTTTAAAAGAGCAACTATATTATTATCCGAAGAGATAAATTTTGAATGCTCTAAAAAAGCAAATATATTATTACTTGAAAAAACAACTTTTAAAGTCTCTAGTAAAATGACCAAATTTAAATGCTCTAAAAGGGCAAATATATTATTATCCGAAAGGATAAATTTTGTGATGCATTATTTTCTCCAAAGTCTCATAGAAATTTGTTGAGTTTCAAAGATATTCGTCTAAATGGACATCATATCACGATAGTAAATGTGAAAAAATTGAATTTTTGAATATTATAATTACTTCGGATAGAAAATATATGTTGGAAAAATTATATGTTTTCTTTTCTAGTATTTATTACAAATATTGAAATGATTGAAACAATACTATAGTAAACCGAAGTTTACTAATTTAAATACTTTTATTATGTAGCATAACCAATTATGTTATCCGAAGTCTTTCATGATGCGAATAATTATTGAAAATTCATATGGTCATCCGTTAAAAAGCCAAAAGATTCTTTAGTTTGATGAATTTTCATGTTTTGCATGTTCTCAAGGAATATTGATTATTAAGCCATGATTAATTAAGATTGAGATTTAATCTTCAATATTTTTATAACATATTCAATGTGATATACGTGGATCAATTCATCCATCATGTGGACAATTTGGATATTTTATAGTTTTAATAGATGCATCCATAAGATAGTTACATGTATGTTTATTATCTATTCAAAACTTGACGTTTTCGATATTGTCAACCCAAATGATTCAATTACAAACATCATTTTTAAATTATGCCATTAAAATGATTCACCTTGATAATTTTAGTAAATTTATCTTCTAAGTATTAAATGGTTATTGATTAACTATTAGAATAAAGGTTGAACATCCTGTTGCTCATGTTCATTATCGGAAAAGTTTAGCAAAATCATTTATCAAAAGACTCAAATTGATAGTTAAATCATTATTTAAAAACAAAGCTCCTTGTTTATGTTTAGGGACATATAATCTTACATGTAGTAACACTTATTCACATCGGATGCATAAGTTATTAGAAATTTTCCCTCCTTCGATTGGTTTATGGTCATGAGCTAAATTTTTCTTATTTAAGAATTTATGGCATTGCAATATATAACGATAGTGCTCTTCCATAACGAACTAAAATAGACACTTAAAGGAGATTGGGAATGTATGATGGATTTGAATTCTTTTTGATAATTCAATATCTTGAACCATGAACAAGAGATATTTTTACGAGCTTAATTTATTGACCGTCATTTTGATGAAACAGTTTTTCTAACATTAGGGGAGAGAATAAACAAAATAAGCGAGTTGAAAATATTGAAAACAAATATTACGTTGAGTACTCTATCTTATATCATTTTGATACTTGTATAAAATAATGTGAACTAGAAGTTCAAAAGATAATTCATTTACAATGTATTGTAAACCAACTACCACATACATTCTTAGATCCTAAATGAGTAACTAAAATGCATGTCCTTGCTGAAAATGCTACTATTAGAATGGATATCCTAGAAGGATAATCTATTAATATTATAGTAAATAAATTTAAAGCACACACGAAGCCTATAAGACCAATCGATTCTAAAAACAAAAATCCTCAAAAGAAAAAGGTAAATAATTAAAATAGCAATATAAAGGGTGCAAATTTTCATAAAATGGTTTAAGATATTTTTGATAATAGGCTTTTGAAAGAAATCCAAATGCTCGAGGACAATCAAGAGATTTTGATAAATTCTATTAATATAGGGAGAAAATATGATAGCAAAGAAATATTTATTTATAACATTCTTACATGTAATATTACAATTGATATTTTAAATGTAAGGAGCCTAATCCTAAGTTTATTGAAAAGTATCAATATAGAGATGATTGGTCTAAATGAAAACAATAATTCGAAAGAATTATATTATCTTACAAATGAGTAATTTTTGAATTCACAGTCAAAACACACGAAGATGTTTAGCTAGTGAGATACAAATGGATAGTTATGTGAAAATAAAATAAGAAAGATGAGATTGTGAGATGCAAAACAAGACTTGTAACACAAGAATTTTTACAAAGACTTGACATTTAAGAATTGATGCTCGTTACATTTTATTATTTGGTTAGCTCAAAAAAATATATGAAAAACTTCATATGCATGCATTTAATGAATGTGATCATAGTTTATTTGTTCGCTTAAAATGATATCTATATGAAAGTCTTAAAAGAACTTAAGATACATGAAGCATGTAATACATATTTTTGAGAAATAAATTCAATTAAATTATAGATATCTCTATAAGGATTATTTAAGTGTTTGTTTTATTACTTTAGTTTTTAAAAAATTTAATTTATGCTATACTTTTTATATATTTTTTAATATTTAATATTTATTACTAACTTGTATGCATATGGCATAATTACTTCAATAAATATTTATTGAAATAAGATTATAAAAATAACCATATTTATTCATGTATTTTTATAAAGAAATTTGAAAAAGAGTTTGTCATAGTAGCTATAAATATTGATGATTTAAATATCATTGGAACTTCGAAGAGATTCCAAGTGCCATAAGCTATCTAAAAAGAGAATTTGATATGAAATATCTTGAAAAAACAAACTTTTATCTCGACATGTAGTTTATGCACTTACATTTCCTATGTTATATTCAAGGAACAATTAATATGGTATTTATTTTACTTAAATAAATTAAAGTTAGGTTTAATTAGTTATGTAGATATAGGTTATTTATCCGATTCATACAAAACTCAATCACAAATGAATTATGTATTTACTTATGATGATACGGCTATATCATAACGTTCTATGAAATAAACTATAAATGCTACATATTTAAATCATATAGAAATACCAATTCATGAGGTATTTAGTTAAGATCGATAACTTATCATATTTGAGAGACATACGATTTATCTATCGGCAAAGAAATTTCAACGAGTATCATATGAAAATAATATTGTTTACATAATCCAATTAAAGAAAGAATACATCAAAGTGATAATTTGACAAACTTATTCACTAAGGCATTACCTATCACAATTTTTGAGAAAATGGTTTGCAAGAGAGGCGTGATCTTAAAGCTCTTAAATGATGTTTTCAACATGGAGAAGCCCTAACATAAAGATTAATGTGTACAAGAAATATTGTATTCTTTTTTTATTAAGGCATTACGTACTTGCAGTTTTTGAGAAAATTGTTTGCAAGAGAGACGTGGTTTTAAAGCTCTTAAATGATGTTTTCAACAAGAGAAGCTTCAACATAGAGATTAATGTGTACAAGAAATATTATATTCTTTTTTACTGAGACATTACTTATCACGGTTTTTGAGAAAATGGTTTGCAAGAGAAACATGGTTTTAAAGCTCTTAAATGATGTTTTCAATAAAGAAAACCCAAATATAAAGATTAATGTGTACAAGGAATATTGTACTATTTTTCTTTCACTATGATTTTTTTTCATTTGTTTTTTTTTTCTAGTAAAGTTTTAATAAGACATATTTCTTGGACATTCAAGAGGGAGTGTTATAAAATAATAAATATTCATGATTATTTCATATTTTAACTACTAATGTGATTCAATTCATCATTTAATATGAAAAATTAAAAAGATGATATAATTCATTCAATTATTTATGCATCATTCAATGATTTATAGTCACTTCCAATTTCTTTCTAATCTTGAAGTTTATAAATAAATTTGGTTGTTTATTAGTTTATATACAAGTATTTTGTAGAGATTAAAAGAATTATTTAAAATTATTATCTCTTATATTTATTTTATTTTATAATAATTTTATTTTTCTATCTTTTTTTTCAATTTTATTATTATTGTTTTTTTTTTTTTATAACGACGACAGTATATTTTCGAAATTTAGCATAACAAAAATTATAAGTTTCGGCAGTCGCCTCGTTACCAAATTTTGGTTTCTTTAAACATGATGGGTCACTTAATGACATTAATAAATAACATGGCCAAAATTCTCCCTCCCAACGAACCACCCAAAAAGCTCTATCTTTCCCACGTGGCTTCCCGTCAAACACTTTACACTGCCCCAAAAATGCAGCCTGCAAATCAGTAAAGGAGCCCATGTTCCTCCTCCTCTGTTCTTTCTCTTTCTTCTTTCAAAATTACGCAGTCAAGCCCCTCACTGAGACACATACAAACACTTCCTTAAAAAACCAGTCTCCTTACTCGTTCTCTCTGCAAGTAGTTACTTTGTCTCATTCTCACATCTAATCTTGATAAACATTTTCATTTTCAATTGCCCTTTACTCAACAACATTAATAAAACCACTCAAAAGCAGAGAGATATGTGATTTTCACTGTTTCTCTCTATTTAGATCTAAAATTTTAAAAAGATTGAGACTTTACATGAACCCATTTCATTTTTTCACTCAAATATAAATGGAACGCCACTCATTTTTAGATCTGAAAGTTTGAAGCTTTGAGGAGGCAGTGATGTAATTTGGGTGGCATTTTGAGTGGAGTGATATTTTGGAGAGATGGGATCCAGTGGAAGCAAGGCATATTGTGGTGGTGCATCATCATCATCATCAAGTGGAAGTGGAAGTGGAAGGAAGGGAAAATCTAAAGGGAGGAGTAAGGTTTTTCAGTCTTCTTGTTTGGGTGCTTCTTGTGGATCTCGTGATAGTACCAGTGGTGACCATGTCAGTCACTCTATCATTGCTCTCTCTTCGGTTTCTTGGATCGTGTTATCTTTAGTTTTCTCTATTTTAATGCAGCTTAGTTCTTTTGTTTATTCACTCACATTATGCACTGTCAAGGGAGAATGTGTGTTTTCATTTCTTGAATTGTGGAAAATGTGCTGCTTTATCTTTTTAGGACTTGTTTTTATTTGGTATCGTCATCAATATGTTATTGTTATGTTGCTATCATTGATTTTTACAAGAATGCTGTTAGAGTTTCTTTATTGATTATAGGTTTTTGAAAGACTAACGCTGTTTTACCCATGTTTTTTTTAGGTTTGTGATAATGGGAATAAAGAAAATTATGAAGGAAATGCGTCATCTACTAACAGGAATGAAATAGACCCGGATGAGGTTAAAATTGAGTGTTATGGAAAGGTCAAAGTTGACCAATCTGATGAAATGTCTTGCATAGCTTCGGATGTTGAGCTCGATGAATGGAATCAAGCTAGCATCACGAATACTTCCTCTAGAACAGGCAACAGCTCTGCTCGAGCTGCTGCTCCCACGCAGGCATTGACCTCCCCAAGTCGGTTTCTTTCTCGCTTTAATTTTATTCCTGGTAATGTGAGCTTTAGGCTGAGTAGAGCAGTGAGTTTAGGTTCGTCCAGGGCATATCCTATTCATTCTACTAGTCTCAGAATGTTGGACAGTGATGATGAGATTCGCCATCGTCCACAGTCTTCCAATGGTGCTGTTGATGGAAATGGAAATGAAACACAACAAAGTAGTGATTTATTGGCTACGTCCTTGGTGAATAGAACTGCTACACATCATCACGAAGATGCGGCTGCTAGTTTGCAGTTGCATAGTCAAGCATCTGATCTCTTAGACAATAGGCAAGAAAACCAGAATATTTTTTCGATTCACAATGCAGGAAGAAATGAAGGTGGAACTGGAGTCGGGGTTGATGGAAACTTACATTCTCCTAGAATGTTCAATGATGTGGATGGGATTGATACTAGACTTTCCGATAGGCGAATTGGAGCACGAGAACCTGCTGAGCGTAATGTTCGTTTTAGCCGAACCTTAAGCGTCGGAAGACTCCGTGACAGAGTTCTTCGTCGGTCATCACTATCTGACCTTACATTTTGTCCTGTGCAACAAGAAAGAGAAACAAGAGATTCTAGCCAGTTTAGTGGGAGACAGGCATTGGGTGGGGAGATGAGGGTGTCAGAATCTGAAGGGAATGCTCTAACCTCTCCAACTGCACTTGGTTATCCTCGATCTGGCATGTCTAGCTCACTGTTCGGCATTCAAGATCATGAGGTGGAAACCTCTCGATCAAGAGAAGCAAGGTACCATGACTTGCTAGAACATAGATCAAATTTCCTTGAGCGGAGGAGAAGAATACGATCTCAGGTATGTAAATTCCCTACACATAGAAGTTATTGAAAGTTTCCTTAGGAAATTAGTTTTTACGTTGAAACACTAAACAGTATGTGGTAAACAGCGAATGCTTCCTACATGTAGAGCAGGCCATTTGATGGTCTTGTTTGGGATTGACTTCGGTCAACTGCATTCGTGTTGCTTACATAAAATTAAAATTTCCTGCATCCTGCTTATCTGCTGTTGGAACTCCTTTCTCCTGAAAGGCAATAAAAGGGATCCATCTGTATTTGGGCTTACATCTCATGCTTCTTTCAGCCTTGCTTCCCTTTATACTTTCTTCCTTTTTGGCACTTGAAAATACAAAATTTGCTGATCATTGTACTAAATGGCTTAGGTTCGTGCTCTTCAGAGGTTGGGAAGCCGTTTTGAAAACCTGTCCGGTCATGAGAGGTCTTGTATTTTGTCCGGTCAACATAGAACAGGTCGCTGTACGTGTCGTGTAAATAATCGAGATGCCAATTTAAATGAAGACACAAGTGCTCGGGCTAGCATATCAAGAATTGTCATGTTAGCTGAAGCTCTATTTGAGGTAAGAGGCTTTTAGCTTTGTGCTGTCTATCCTCTATTTTTTTTGTCTTTGAATTTTTTTTTTTACCATTTTTATTTATATCTCTATAAGTTGAATTTTTTATACACTTTAATCAGGTTCTGGATGAAATTCACCAGCAGTCAGTTGTGTTGTCCTCTCGGCCTTCTGTGTCTTCACTTGGATCTGTACCTGCACCTAATGAAATAGTGGAATCTTTGCCAGTTAAACTATATGCCAAGTCCCAGAAACATCAGAATGAGGAGACAGCTCAGTAAGTTTTTGTCATGTCTACTAATCAAATTTCAGGGTATTATTTGTCCCAGATGCGAGTGACTAAATTGTTGTTTGAATAACTAATGGAGAGATTTCTGAAAAATTGGTAGGATTATTCTGTTTCTTTGAATTTTTTTTTCTAGTACCTTTCTTTTTGCGATATTTATCATCACTTAACCACAACCTTTATGACGTTAGTTAATTGCTTTACTAAGATAGTCAAACGGTTGCTTGATTGCTTTACTAAGATTGTCAAACGGTTGCTTTGAGCCTGTTCATCTATTACTGCAACCTTCCTTTTCTTTCTTTCACTCTTTGTTTGTGTGAAAACTTTTCAATTCCCATTTTTGGAGCTAATTAAAGTTTTGAGTTTGCCTTGCCTTGGGAAAAAAAAAAACGTTAAAGACTAAACAAACACAACAATGTATATATATGTAGGTACGTATAGTTTTTTTTAGTGCACTAACATTTAACCTTTAAAAACCAAATATTTAATCCTTCAGTTTATAAATACACTAAACATCCTTAAAAATCAAGTTTTACACTTAAAAATTGCTCTTGTAGTAATTACTCATGCGATAATTCAGCCCTATTTTTTTCAACCTCGTACCAAACACCACCAGGGTTGGCATTTGATAGTGAGGAGTTCTGTATGTTACCTGAAGCCACAAACTTAAGATAACAAGTATTGTCTACATCTAGAAAAATTGCAATTTGGTTAACTGTTGGTGAAAGATTCTACGAAGACTGCTTCTGATCAAGTCTTCAAAGTGCCACTGTGCCAGCCAGGAACTGAGCTTGCCTTCACGAGTGAGAAATCCCATAGCTGCGACAAAGTGTTAGTCTAGTACCTTGGGAACCATATCTCCTGATGGTAACTTTAATTGTTTCTCCTTCATGCGGTAACTTAAATTTCCATAAACTCCTAATCAGCCTGCTCTCCTTCAATGTTGCCAATAATTGCAAATATTAAGTCTTTTGCACTCCAATGGGAACCCTACAACCTGAGTTGAATGTTCCAGGGAATAAATGTCTTGAAGGAATACACACCTGTGGATTTCAACGTTGTCGTGTTGACACGGTCATACAGGTGTCTCGAGGAAATTGCCAACTCTGAACAACATAGTATAATAACTTACTAGCTTCTTCATTTTTTTCAAACCTCCTCATCTACATGCAGGCAGCTACATTGGAACCAGCTTATGATGGTCTGCTTCATATAGTTAAGCTGTTGACATATTCAATGTACCAATAATTACCTTCATATTAAGTCCCACATGAAGCTTACTTAAAATAACATTTGTGATCTTTTACTTTTTTGTTTTTGATAAAAAAAAAGTGTCATCATGTTTTGCATCATAAAGTTAAGCTTTTGAAATATTCAATGTACTGATAATTACCTTCATATTAAGTCCCACATAAAGCTTACTTGAATAACATTTGTGATCTTTTACTTCTTTGTTTACTTTTTTATTTTGGATAAAAAAAAAAGTGTCATCATGTTTTGTGTAAGAATTATTTTTTATGATCTGCGATCTTTTGCATGTAAATTTTTAAGGCCTGTTCATGGTTTGAAGGCTAACTGAACAATGTTCCTTCTGCATGCTTCTGTTTGCATAATCTTGTTATTTTCATAACATTGTTGTATGCTTTTCTTATCCAAGTCAATGAAGTTTGATTGAAATTTTAATATTGCAACTCTTGTCTCTTTATTATGATTGGCTTTCACTTATGCTCCTCTTCCCTTTTGCCATTTAAATAACAGATGTTACATATGCCTTGTGGAATATGAGGAAGGAGACAGTATGCGAGTGTTGCCTTGCCATCACGAATTCCACAGAACATGTGTAGACAAGTGGCTGAAAGAGATACACAGGTATTCTTTTTGAATCCTGAATTTATAACCAACCTATAAATGCATGCATCTACACATGCATGTTTAAAGTAAACTCATCTTAGTGAAACCACATAATCCTTATTTATTCCTGCTTAAAATTTTATTAGGTAATGTAAAGGACAATTTTGCCTAAAATTTTGAGATAAACAAATCTGCATTTGCTGTTGTATATATGACTCACATTTTGGGTCACCGTCTAGTGATATCAATATAAGTTGATAGAACTGACTGAAGGTTGCTCATTGTTGACTAGAATACCAAGCTCAATTATCAGAATTGCTTCAAAACTTCATTTGCTAGATCAGAGCATTCAGAACTTACAGTGTATTTTCACACTGTCATGTTCATGTGGGGTCAATGTCTATTATAAGTGGGTCCTAATGATCTAAGAGATGGTGTACATGCACTGGAAGTACACGTAATTCCTCGTATCACAAGGCCTATCAAATTTGTATTATCTGATCTTATTCTTGTAAAATCATAAGAAATCTTAAAATAGATCTGGGCTTTTGGGTTTTTTTGAGTGTTGTGAATTCTGTGTATCTTTCAAGTATGCGGCAACAGATTTTTGCCTAACTTGTTAGTGGTTTGCAGGGTATGTCCACTTTGTCGTGGTGATATTTGTAGATCTGATTCATTGCCCACAGAGAACTAAGGCGGCCAGTTTACAACCAGCTACTTGAAGACCTCAGCAAATCCTCCCAATGCCATAACCAAGTTCCCCAGCATGACAAATGTCTCAGAAGTTCAGCCCTTTTCTACCACTGCAGGTGATTTTTCTGTGATTTCAGTGGAAGCCGATTGACATCAAATTCTGTTAGAAATGGACTGAAATACTTGCATTAGCAATATCTTTGGTCAGAACAGTGGTTTGAGGCTGGGTCGGATGTATTTGAGGGGGGGTGGGGGGGGGGGGTGTGGGTGTGGAATTTTCGTTCATTCCATTTTTTTCTTTTGGCCTAGAAATTTAAATGATATATTCAGCAAAGAGGTCCTTTTATCATATTAAAAAACATAAAATATCTAATATCAGAGTCCAATTTTTATTGGTGCTTATTCTCACGGAGACCCAACATGTAAGGAATTTGTTTGTTTCCATTTTCGAAAGTAATACAAAATTTGGTGATCCCAATATTTGATTCAATCGGATATCTTCTGCTTGAAGAGTATGAAACCAATGGATTTTCCCATTTCGATCTAGGACATGCAACCACTGGAAATGGATTGCTGGCTACGCTATCTCCATTTACCTCTCCTGGTTGAGGACGTATGTTGCTGGACCTTGCATGTGTCTTACTTAGTCTTAACCCTCATGGTAACTGTTCCATTAGTGAGTATGGGATACGTCCTGGATGGTGCTGATATTATGCCTAAAGGGAAGTTTTCCACTTTCTAACGCTATCATGGACGCACAATTGTGATGGATAGTGATACCAAAAAGACATAAGCAAAGAAAAAGGGCAAGAGTTAAACAAAAAATCAAGGAAATAAAGTGATAAAACTGATAAATGTCAACAAATGGCCTAAGCACAGCTTGCTTCGGATACAAAACTGTCGGAAGCTTGGGAGTCGTAAACCTCCTCTGCTATATATTTGAGAACTCCCGTAACCATATGAGAACAAATTTAAAAGGTACACAAGTCTTTCTAATTGACACCTATGCCATTTCAAGTACTCTTTAGTGCTTTGTATTTATTAGCTTCTCTTCGTGTGTCTTCATTGGCATTTTCTCAACTGTCATGTCCTCCAAATATTGAATCTTGGTGCGAGAAAACTTCCATATACCCAGCCTTGTTATTACCACATGTGCAGCAACACCAACTCTTTTACCATGACCCAAAAGTCAAAATTTAGAAAGATGTCCGTGCAGATTGCTTTAGGTCAAGCCCTCCAAGCTCAAAGCCAATCAACAACCAGGATCGCACTCCAGTCCTGGCACTATGAGAAAATTACTGCCCGGACAGACTGCCTTGAGCTCTACCAAGATACCATAATAAGGCTTAACTACACCATCAACAATTATGGTCAATGTGCCAATCTAGATACACAAACATGGCTTGCAACAGCCCTAACAAATGTCGAGACCTGCAGGACTAGTTGTATTGAGCTTGATGTCAGAGACTATATGCCTCTCCTGTCCAATAATATCTCCAATTTAATAAATAATGCTTTAGCAATTAACAAAGTTACACTGAAGAAGACACCATACCATGCCAATCGTCGAAAGAAATTAGAGGCCAATAACATTGGATCTACTTCATTGCTGGCCAATCTTGCGGTGGCTAAAGATGGCTCTGGAGACTACAAGAAAGTTAAGAAGGCAGTGAATTTTGCATCAAAAAGAAATGAAACTGATGAAAGGTTTGTGATTTATGTAAAAGCAGGAACTTACAAGGAGAGAGTTGTGATAGGACACAAGGGAAAGAACATCACAGTGGTTGGTGATGGCATTGGTAAGACTATCGTGACAGGAAGCAGGAGCAGGAAAGGAGGTTCTACCACCTTCAAGTCAGCAACTTTTGGTACGGAATTATCGGTATTCAAAATATGATTTGGTGATGAGTTTATATTTCGTTCTGTTTTTATTGCTGCTGTTCTTAGTCTTGCAGTCTTGGTTAACTACGTAACCCATTTCTTTCATGATGAAATTTTGCAACAGCCGTTGATGTTGATGGATTTATTGCTCAAGATATGACATTCCGCAACACGGCTGGACCTTCTCATGGTCAAGCAGTGGCTATACGATCAGGGTCTGATTTATCTGCATTCTACAGATGCAGCTTTGAAGGATATCAAGACACTCTATACGTACATTCAAACAGACAATTCTATAGGGACTGTGATATATATGGAACCGTAGACTTCATCTTTGGAAATGCTGCTGCTGTATTCCAAAACTGCAGCATCTACTCAAGGAGCACTCAGCACAAAATTAACACGATAACAACCCAAAGTCGCGTTAATCCGAACCAAACTTCAGGTATAGTAATTCGTAAGTCTCGAGTAATTGCAGCCCCAGATGACACTCAGGTTAACGATTCGGTAAGAACGTTTCTTGGAAGGCCTTGGAGAAGTTACTCAAGGACAGTTTTCCTTGAAAGTTTCCTTGACAACCTAGTTGATGCAGCTGGTTGGTTTGCATGGAATAATGAGTCTGATCTTAGTACCCTTTACTATGGCGAGTATGAGAATGAAGGTCCAGGTTCTTCGACTGAAAACAGAGTAAAATGGAGTGGATACCATGTCATAAACAACTCATGTGAAGCTTCAGAATTTGCAGTTAGCAATTTCCTTGCAGGTGATTCTTGGTTGCCATCCACAGGCGTGCCTTACGATTCATACCTTTAGAGTTCAGGAGAAACTCATCAGTAAAATCCAGGGCTTCTTATATTCAGTGGTGTTGAAACATGAAAGAACGAGTTGTGACTCTAGGTACTAATGTTTTCCTCAGATGTTGTCTCACAATAATTAATACGTATGTATGTGGGGTTGCTATTTGCTTCAAAATGAATTGTCGGTTTAACTGAATCCAAAAAATACAGTTAAATTGTCTAGTAAGATTGTTGTGAGTTAATGCTTGTAAAAGTGAACATATAATTATGCAGTAGCATGCCAGCCATTCTTGTTACTAAGCTGCCAATAATTTTCCACTGCTGCTCATTTGTGCTCAGTCAGTCCTTCGACGGCTCTTTTCTGTATTTGATCATTTAGGGAAGTTTTGATGATAATTTGGAATTTAATTTGTGTATAGTTAGTTACTTATTTTAATATTCATTAGGAAAAGGTTTTTAATATCCCCTAAAATGTGGCTTGTGGTGGTTGGATGAGAGCACAGAAATTGCAGTGTGCTGGTCATCTAAAATGAATGAAGAAGAAACAAATGGGGCCATTCTTCTTTGGAAAACTCCTGCAAATTTCTCTTCTCTTTGCTTGTTTTCTACAATCTCCATTCTTCAAAATTCTTTTTATCCAATATGCATTTTATTTATTTATTTTTTTTTGTCATAAATTATTTATGAAAAACAACTTTTGAATTTTAACTTAAAAGTAAAAAATTATTTAACATTAACTCATCTAAAAATAAATAAATTCTAAAATTAGAATTAAAATTTCAAAATTAAAGAAAAATTTTAATTTGATTTGATTTGAGTAGAAAATTATTCCTAACTAAACAATATTTATAATATTGCTTCATTTCTTAGAGTCGAAAATTCAGAGGTAACTTAAATCAAAATCAATGGTGCTGTCAAACGCAACCTTAATTTTAAAGCTCGAAAAAGGTGGGATGGAAGAAAATGTTGCGAATCATGGCTTATTAAAGAAGCCCAAAAAAATAAAGCCCAAGTCCAAATTGCCGAACAAACTAAGTTTTTTTTTAAAAAAAAAGTCAACTGAAACTGACGGAATCACGGAAACAGAAAATTTTGCTTGCCTGATTGCCCATTTGCCTGGTAGCAAAACAAACGCCATGAACTAAAACTGAAACCACGGAAACAAACTGTAAGAGAAACATAAAATAATAATAATAATAAGTCCTTCTTCAGCTCCAGAATCTACACCGAGACTGGACATGTAAACGGGAAAAAAAAAAAAAAAAAAAAAAAAAGAAATGAACACAAACAGCAACCAAGATCTCCTAATCAACACTCAACAAACCCAAATTCCACAATCCGACCCATATTCTCACCAACCCCATCCAGTCCAACAAAGCCCTAGCGCTCACCCTCACCCTCAGCCCCGCCGGCCTCGCGGCTTCGCTGCCACTGCCGCAGCTGCTGCTGCATCCTCTGATAACACCCCCACAGTTTCATCTCCCAATGCCTCAGGTAAAGGTAAGAGAGAAAGAGAAAAAGAAAAGGAGAGAACCAAACTTCGAGAACGACATCGCCGTGCTATTACAAGTAGAATGCTCACAGGTCTGAGACAATACGGTAATTTCCCTCTCCCCGCGCGTGCTGATATGAATGATGTATTAGCTGCTTTAGCGCGCGAGGCTGGTTGGACTGTTGAAGCTGATGGCACCACTTATCGTCAATCGCCTACACCTTCACATACGGTTAGTTTGTTAGTCAGCTACTTAAATCAGGGTTTCATTATGTTAGTACTTAGGGTTTTGATTGATAGTTTGTAATTAATGTGTTTAAAAGGGATCATTTGGAGTGAGGTCAGTGGAAAGTCCGTTACTAAAGAATTGTGCAGTGAAAGAGTGTCAGCCGTCGGTTCTTAGAATTGATGAGAGCTTGTCCCCAGGGTCGCTTGATTCGGTGGTGAATAGCGAGAAAGAGAATTCAAGAAATGAGAAGTATGCAAATACGAGTCCGATTAATTCTGTCATTGAATGCTTGGATGCTGATCAGGTAATTGATTGATTTATTGAAGTTGGGTGCAGACAAATTGATGTAATATGAATGTGTTTATTTGATAGTGTGGTTGATTGGTGGGTATGTTTGTGGTGCAGCTTATACAAGATGTTCATTCTGGCATGCACCAAAATGATTTTATGGAGAATTCTTTTGTTCCTGTTTATGCAATGCTTGCAGTAAGTATCTGGTTTGATTTGAATTCTTACTGTAGTTGTATTTATTTATTTGTGTCAATTTTCCGTTGTACTTGCATTTTTGTGGCAAGGATTGACTGTCTTTTTTGTGCTGATCTTTCTAATGTTTTTTTTTTTTTTTTTTTTTTTGTGTGTGTGTGAATTTGTTGAACTATGCTGGCAGAATGGGTTTGTCAACAATTGCTGCCAGTTAATTGATCCGCAAGGAGCTAGACAGGAGTTAAGTCATATGAAGTCTTTAGATGTGGATGGTGTCGTTGTTGAGTGTTGGTGGGGAATTGTTGAAGCATGGAGTCCTCAGAAGTATGTATGGTCTGGCTATAGGGAATTGTTTAATATTATCCGAGAATTCAAGTTGAAGTTGCAGGTGAGTTTTAATGATTTATTTGACTTGTATGCATGTTCATTCCAGTAATAGAAGGATTAGCAGAGTACTAAATCATTCCATTCTGGTTCTTTAAATGTATATTTTATTCCTTTCCCCTTCAAAAGCTTGTGTCGTTGATCTTATACGATTTCATCAAAATGAAATGGACCTGGTATTTTGGTTGGAAACTGTAATCTAATGGAGACCAGCTAGTAGTTCAATTGTTTCCTTATCAAATGTTCAAAGCCTGAAACTTTCATCAAAATAACATTCACTGCTAAACTGCTTATGCTGTATGATCATGATTTTCTCAAACTCAATTTTTTTGAACGAATAGTTTTTTCCACCATGACAAAGTACAACTTTGAGATCCTTTATGGTGCGTTGGTTTTTTTTTTTTGCCTTGAATTTCTAATGCTCATGTTTTTCTTATGAGAATATGTATTTATTTTATCAGAAATTTTATTCATGTGCCTCCTTATCAAAGGTTTTTTTCTTATATGGATGACACTTTTCTGGTATTTGTTGAATGGCTTTTTAAATCCTAAACCTGTCTTAAATCTTGAAGGTTGTGTTGGCATTTCACGAATATGGAGGAACTGACTCTGGTGATATTTTGATCTCACTTCCCCAATGGATTTTAGAGATTGGGAAAGAGAACCAGGACATATTTTTCACAGATCGTGAAGGAAGGAGGAATACTGAATGTCTATCTTGGGGCATCGACAAAGAGCGAGTTTTGAAAGGAAGAACTGGTATAGAGGTATAACAAAAATTTTCATGTATCCATGAGCATGTTTTTCATGCCTTTTTTTTATTTAGCTTATATTACATTATTTCTCTATACTTGTCATATTCTTGCCCCTGCTGTCTCTCTCTCTCTCTAAAAGTAGTAATTGTAAAATGTAGATTTTTAGTTATAAATTATAGAACCTAATATGCTTATCAATACTATCTTAGGTCCCATGCAAGATATCACTTTTTCATTTTAGAGTAGGAGATTGTTCTTTTACCTTTTTGGTAAGTAGATTTCACCATAGCTAGTTCTATGAGGCCATTGTAGGCATAAGTTAGGTGAAAAGTAGAGAAATAGAAAGATTTGGAAAAAAGGCTTCAAGGCATTCTTTCATTGGCCTTTTAGCTCTATGCTGAGTACGCTGAACTCGAGTTTTGAACATACTTTCTGTGCCTTAGAGCAGCCCCTCTGGACAGGGCACTTGTACTGTTTTTTCCTTTATATTTCATGTTGTGATTATTATATATATGCAGGTTTATTTTGACTTTATGAGAAGCTTCCGCATGGAGTTTGATGACTTATTCACAGCGGGCCTTATTTCTGCTATTGAAATTGGACTTGGACCATCTGGGGAACTAAAGTATCCATCCTCTCCAGAGAGGATGGGATGGAGGTATCCTGGTATCGGTGAGTTTCAGGTATCTTTTTAAGTGGACCATCTATTCATGCCTCTCTCATTTGCTGTATTTATTTGAAGTTGATGGCCAAGCTTTCGATTTTTAGTGGGTCTTTTACATTTGATTGTAATGGAAATTGGCTGGAGAAAGTTTCTCTTGTAATTTTTCTACTGCTTGAGGTCTATCTTTATTTTTTATTTATTTAGAACTGAGAATATTGGGTTGATGAAACTTTGCAATATTGAATGGGATCTGATTCTAAGTTTGGTTCATCCACCATTGGTGATGAAAAGCAAACATGAAGGCTGGATATGTAGGTTTCTTGCAGTGATGTCAACTTACGATTCTGAAAAATAGAGAAAATGAATTTTTTTTTTAAAAAAAAAACCTTCATTATTTGGTTTTTGGTCAAGTGGTAACGGTATTGGGTTTTTGTCTAATGCAATTTGTACTGGGTTATTTTGTAATCCTTATTCAGAAAATATATCTGCTTCTCAGCAGCCTCATTGTCAGTATGCGATTTGATCCTTAAAGAGTAGTTGCTCTCATGGAACTACTAGCTTGTAAGCTATCGGGATTTCATTGGTTGCCTTCAAATATTTGTTTGGGAGTTATCTCCTTATATTGTCTATTTAAAGTAGAGAAGTGAAGTTAGGTTTTACTTTTGGAATGCAGTTCTGAAAGAAGAATTTATCCAACTTTAGCTAGCGCTACATAATGGATGCCATATTCTGTTGATATGTGATTTTCTAGGGGTCTGAAAGAAGAATATATCCATCTTTAGCTAGCTCTACATGATGGATGCCATATTCTGCTGATATGTTATTTTCCTTCTTGGATTGGAACCTAGCTTGATGCTGTGCTGTGTTTATCTATCTTGCTCCTTATATTTTTGTTCTTTCTCACCTGTTCTTACATTGCATGTGTTTTCATTATAGTTGAATCTTTAGTAAATGTTCATTGTGCCTGACCAACTCGCGCTGAATGCTTCTGTACAGTGCTATGATAAATATTCACAACAAAATCTTCAAAAAACAGCTAAACTACGTGGACATTCATTTTGGGCTAGGGGGCCTGACAATGCTGGTCATTATAACTCTAGGCCACAGGAAACTGGATTTTTCTGTGAACGAGGTGATTATGATAGCTACTTTGGTCGCTTTTTCCTCCATTGGTATTCCCAGTCACTGATAGACCATGCCGATAATGTTTTGTCTCTTGCAAGCCTAGCATTTGAGGATACGAAGTTAATCGTCAAGGTATGTACATTTATAATGGATTTTGAAACTATTTTGTACTGGTATAGGAATGCGAGTCTTTTACTAATCAATCCACTTAAAAGATAGATATGATCCAAATCCTAGAGAAATCCATGTTCCATGTTGTGCTTTGTTTTTGTTTAAAATCTGCCAAGCTTGCTCAGTCACATCACCTTCAACATGATGCAACTGCTACTGCCATTGTCATCACAGCTCCACCTGCTTTCAGTGTCACACTAAAATTGTTCCACAACTATCATGTCCAAGTTCATTTCTATATGCATCCGAAGAGATGCTCAAATCCTTTTTCCTAAGTTGGGGGATGCTGGGGAGGGTTATGGAGTCATGCTATCTTGAACAATTTTAGCACCAAAAAATTTAATAGAGTAATTGTGTGATGAATCATAAGTCCACAAATCAAATTAGGCTGAGACAATGTGCAAAATCCTGTTCACCTTGAATCTTTCATCTCCCTTGTAAATTGTCTACCACTACCCTCCTGCCCAATACGCCTTGCAAAAAAGCAGAGCTGGTGGAGGAAAACTTGTTCCTTTTATCTTTGCAACTTTGGTTTTGATAGGGCTATGTAACAATGTTTAACACTAATGCTTGCACTTATCTGTATCTCTCATTTTTCATATAATCCTGACAGCCTCCTTGCCGTAAATTTGTCTCTTTTTCATTTTAGCTATGAATTTTATCTCTCGTTTGTCATAAAAAACCTTGGAGTCCTGCTGGGAACTGCAATTGCAAAATCAGTTTAGGTCTCTCTAAAATTTGCTTATGACAAAAGGCCCTGCACAAAGACTTGGCCTGCCACCAACGTGGCCATCCTATCCATCCCAGAGAGCCTGCTTCTTTGCCTTGATAATGACAGCCTCCCTGGCCCCTTCGTTTTGGCATATCAAATTTGTTCTGTTCGATCAAACAATGCTTCTAGGATCGACATTTTTCGCTGACCATTTTGTTGGACAGTGACGGCCAACATGAACAGTGTTTTTGTATGTTTATATTGTGTGAGAGTTTAAATTACACTTTCTTTTCCTGCTGATCGATAACAAATGGTAGATTTTGGAAATGATTTTTTTATGCATTTTATAATTTTAATCAAGTGGATGGTGGTTGTAGTGGTGGTTTATATGAAAAAATGAATCTATATTGTTTTATGTAAAGCATATGGTTTCTTATCAATTTCAATGATATTGATGCACATGCAGGTTCCTGCTGTTTATTGGTGGTACAGGACTGCCAGCCATGCAGCAGAGCTAACAGCAGGATACTATAACCCTACAAACCAGGATGGCTATTCTCCAGTTTTTGAGGTTTTGAAAAAACACTCTGTGATCATGAAGTTTGTTTGCTCAGGATTGCAAGTTTCAGGTTTTGAGAATGATGAAGCACTTGTTGATCCAGAAGGCTTGAGTTGGCAGGTGATGTCTTTTGTGACATCTTTTAACTTGATTAATTCTCTAGGCTATTTAATTTCTTGGATACTCTTAGCAATTTTTGGCTAATGCTACATGAGCTGTTCAAGTTATTTATATGCGTTTCAAGTAGGAGTTAATGAATTGTCATTTGTTCCCACAGGTTTTGCATTCTGCTTGGGACCGAGGATTGACAGTGGCTGGTCTAAATATGCTTGCTTGTTATGACAGGGAAGGGTATAGGAGAGTGGTTGAGATGGCGAAGCCAAGGAATGATCCTGACCACCATCAATTTTTGTTTTTTGTGTATCAACAGCCATCACCTTTGGCTCAAGGAACAATTTGCTTTCCAGAGTTGGATTACTTCATCAAATGCATGCATGGTAAGAATCTTAATGCTATTACTGGGACTCAAAATCTTAGTCAGTGGGTGTTCAGACAGTCCATAGCACAAAGTTGCTTCTCTTTATTTTCTGCCTACATCCATATAATTTGATTGTTTTATGGAAAAAGATTATGTTGTGTCTTGAAAGCTCATGTTAGTGACTGATTCAATTTTTTGAGAAACAAGTGCACATTGTTTGGCAATTCATTGAGAGGAGATATGCCCAAAACCATTAATATGAAGAATATCACTCGCCTCATGTCAATTTCTACTTCAAGTTCATATGGAGATTTTTTTTTTTTTTTTTTTTTTTTAAAGTGTTTTCAATCCCAATTCAATTTCTGCAGGTGAGATATCTGGTGATCTAGTCTCCTGATAGGGTGCAGATTTTTCTCTTTTGTAAACGGGTAAATACAGCAGCTACTTTCGACTGCAGGCTATAGGTCCAATAATGGCTGTATGCAGGGTATCAAATCATAATTGCAGTTCGAAGCACAAAATTATGTAAGATTACTTTGAAGTCTTTGTAGATTATTCCCTAGTTCATTAGTAATCTTGGTAATGTTAGCATATTGTGCGTGTCTGTGAAAGCGGGACAGAGTTAATTAGGTGGGTATGAGGATAATGTCAGATGTTTATATAGGAGAACATTCCTGGGAAATCATAATCCTAATTTAAGGCATTGTGTTCATGGAATTAGAAATGCAATTAATGAGATCCTCAGAGTGCAGCATTACTGTGTATTTTTTCTGCTACAATTCCCATGATTTTTTTTCTTTTTTTTTTTTTTTTGTTTTCCCCAATCACTATTTTAAACGCTTCTACTGCTTTTGCATTTATAAATTTGATTGCCATGTGACTAATATGCCTATAAACCCAGGGTAGAATTAATAAAAAAAAAATGATACTAAAGCAAAGAGTTCCATTTGAATCCAGCGTATGAAATTCCAGTAGTTTTGGTAGAGAAATTTATCACTCCCAGTGCTAATGTGATGCAGGCAGTCGCCCCTTGAAGGCGACTGGGTGTCCTTAAATTGATTTGGGGATTTTCTTTCAATTAGGTTTTGAATGGTTTGGGGAAGTATGAAAGACCAATCTGAAAAAAGGGGAGATGGTGCACAAACAGAAAGAGGGTTTTACAGAGCTTTAATGTCTACTTCGACCAACAACCCAACACCATTTGGTTCCGCATCTTTCAGCTTTGTTAGCACTCCACATCCACACCATCAGAGCATTCAGTCCCTTCCCACAACCCTTCACCAACAAGCAATACAAACCAGACAAATCTTGTCCAGATTTAAACTTCTGCTGCAAACAAAATAAAACTAACTTAATCCATTACAATTAAGCTTAGTTACGCCCAAACCATTCATAACCTAATTGAAAGAAAATCCCCAAATCAATTGAAGAGGACACGCGACTGCCTGTATCATAATGCAAGTCTGATCGAACACATAAAGAGAATTTTGTACAGGGTGGGGACGTCAATATAACCCATACTTAAGAGAAGCCAATTTTTGCGCAGATGGATTGGCTAGCTTGGGAGTCGATATGTGTCGTGAGATCTGTTACTTCTCCAGGCTACCAATTGTCATTATAAAGAGAGCCTGCAAAAGGACCTTCATTGTAGAGGGAGCTTTAGATACTGTAAATAGCCCAGTAGTTTTGGTAGAGAAAAAGACCAAACTGCCTGCCACAAGCGAAACTGGAGTGGTTATTTTCGGCATCCCAAAGTTTAACCTTATTATAAAACTAGTTAAAAAGAAAAACTCTATTCCTTAAAAAGTTGTAATAACACAGGAAAACAGCAGGTCTTGGATGCTGTCATTCTACTACCATCCTTTGGATGCTCGTCATGAGTTTACACATATAGTGATAGTGGATTGCTGCATTTAAAGGCTTTGTGTATATGAGCCCGGATAGTGTAATTTTCTTTTCCCATGTAGAGCAGTCGATCAGTGCATGTATTCTTTCCAGGTGAAAAAGATCAGTCATTCAATTTGCTGAATTCTCATTCTGTCAAGTGGTTAATTTGATCTTCTTTGTTTTGTTAGTTGTGTCTAACGTTACCTCTCTTCGCATCAGAGAAACCCGTGACCTGTTATGGCTGCTTTTGGCTTATCATGAACTAAATAAGCGGCGACTTAAATCTAAGTTTATTCTCCAATTCACCATCCAAAGACTTGAAAGGGCCCGGAATTTAATTTGAGATAAGACACTTGCTTGTGTCTCTTTAACATAGACCCGGATTACGATTGATCTTTACCAGCACAATGCAAGTTCTATTTATGTGACCCCAAATGCATTATAAACAAAGTCTGCTTATTTTACTTCTCTCGAATGGGTCATGAGTAGCTACAGAATTGTTGGTTATATATTTGTTACGGAATTGCAAGCAATGTTTCTTGCACGAATCTTTTTTCTTTTTTTTAATAGGTGGTAATAATGATGCTCCGGAAGGACTGATTTCTGTTAATTAGATACTTTACATTTCGCAACAAATAAAAATATAAAAAATAAATAAATAAAGCAAGGGGTAACACGTGGTGATGTATTAGGCAATTATACTTACTAGTAAGATACAGCGAATTATACTCTTCTTAAAACTTGACTTGAGTGATAAATGGGCTCTCTCCTATTAATCATTATCTTAAGTTCGAATTCAAGAAGATGTCAAGAGAAAAACATGCAGAATTGTAGCCTTTTTTTTTTTTTTAAGAAAAAGCAAGAACCTAATTGCCTTCAACCTTAATTTCAGGGAGCTACAATATCCAACCAGGCAAACCCTTCGGGAATGGGTAACAGAGGAGAGCCACACAAGGTTGTTTACAACTTTCTATTCTCCTGCACCCTTGTTTTCGTAGTCCCACATTCTCATGCTTCCCTAGATTAGATCTAAAATAATGGAGACAAAAGGCAATAGTGGTGGGGTTATTGATCCGCGTTTGTTTTCGAATTTTGTTGCGTAGCAATAGTGGCACTCCTAGTATCATAGTAGGAGCCAAGAGAAGGCAAACAAAGAAAATCAGGCTATAAAAAAGGACTAAAGGAAAACAGACACATCCGCTCGTGCTAGAAGTAGCAGTAGAAGTGGGCTACGAGCTGAATGCAATGATGGGCATAGAGCGGCTAAGGATGCGACAAGAGACGCATCCCTTGCTACCGGCGCTGTTCTTGGGCCTAGTATAGCGGGGGAGCAATGCCATTTCTTGGTAATTGATAGGCTTTCAATCCCATGAAAATTTGAAATTTAAATTGCGTTATGATTCATTAAAAGTCATCACATCTTTTTATTATTATTATTATTATTTCATAATACTAAAATGGAGCGGAAGCAAACAAAGTCACCAGGATTTAATCATGGTAAAAAGCACGAAGAATATATATTATCCCTCCAAGATTCAAGATTGTAACGGTGAATTAAAAATTCCTAGCTCCATAGAATGATGGATCGGCAGCCTAACCGCGTTTTTCTATCCTAGAAAATTGCTTTGACCAATGGTAAACCATTTTTGGCTGGCACATTTATGGATGCTCATCCTTGGCATTATGCCTTCCAGGCTGTTTCCAAGGATTGTGCTAGACTTCACGGAGAGGCTTTAAGTAATTATTATTATTTTTCATTGTTTTCATGAAAATGGAGTAAAATGTTTCTTTCACAGCTACTTCAAGCAAGCATATGGACGGCTCTTGTCTTACCTATTTCTCTTTCAAGTTTAATTACACGTTATAGTTAGTTTGTTAAACTACTTTTTTTTTTTTTTTTAAGAAGACAGATAAACGTCCTTAAATTGTCGTAAATAGAAAGAAATCATTGTATTGGTGTGTTGTATTTATGAAAGTCAATTAGAAAGCTAAGAGGGAGCTTTCGAATTTTGGATCTCAACCTTCCTTCTTCTTCTTCTTCTTTTTTTTTTCAACAACACATAAATGAAATATATAAACATAAATACAATTTTTTTTTTAACATACACTCTAAAGATGAGTAAATTGTAAATTAGTCACTCTAGTTTTAAAAAATAAATTAATTAGTCTCTCTCGTTTTAAAAATTATTATTTAGTTCTTTAATTGGTATTAACTATGTTTAATTTAATACTAATTTTATTTCACAAAATATCTTATTTTTTATCCATCTTTTTTGTAATTTACATATTTTTTAAAACAAAAAAAAATTATAATGAGCAAAAATGACTAGATTATAAGTAGATTTTAAAATATAAAGACTAAATAATTAGTTTTTGAAATGAAAAGAACTAAGTAATTTGTTTCTCGAAACCAAAGGGACTAATTTATAATTTACTCCTCTAAAGACACATAGTAATTGATGCAAATAAAATTTTTTTAATTTTTTTATTAAATAATATTGAATCATGGATTATAATTTTATTTGATTATAAAAGTTAACGAATCACTTCATCAATATTAATTAAAGTATGCTTTTAAAGTAAATATTAGAAAAACTCTAAATACAAACAGGAATTGATATGAATTATGAGTAATTTATTATATATGTATCAATTTTTAAATGACTATTGATCATAAGAGGCACGACACATTTATTTTAACACCCTCGACTTAGGACATAAAGTAGATCAAGAATGCTAATGGCAATATCTTACATTCGAAATGCAATGAATGCGAGGCACTAAACCTCGTGTCCTCTACCTTAAATATAAAATAACATACACAACGAAAATTCAATGAACTTAATTTATTTTTTATTATTTAGTTCCATCCTCACTTGTAACCATTGCAATAGAAGTCATACTATTAATTTTTAAAAATCAATTCATTTAATAGGAGTGGAAATCATAATTAGGAATTTAATTCATTTATGCATAAAAACATACTTGAAATAAAAATACTTTTATACAAAACATTTTCTAAATACTTTAGGATAAATTCGATTAAACACATTAAATTAATACATATACTTTCATTAAATCATAATATATAATTAAATCAATTTCATCTAATGTATATTAAATTTCGGCTAGTTAGATTATCTATCACTTAACCATTTTAATCAAAACATTATTAATTAGTTAGCAATTTATTAAATCAAAAATTCTTAAAATGCCAAAACCATTTATGGATTTAGAGTTCAATTAGTTGTAAGCACATTGGAAGCTAATGATTATGTTAAGCTCATTGAAAGCTAATTTAGGGTTTTTGAATCATTTAATTACTTAAGTATTAGATACCAATTATAACTATTTCATTTTTGTACTTAAACCATTTAATTAAATCTTTTATGTATGTTAAACCATTTCATTCATTTAAACTATAAAACCAATTTATAACCTACCTAACACATATATTTATTAGCATATTAAAGTTGCCTTGCAAATTCCATTAATTTACATGTCATCATA